GTGATCATAAACGGATCAAGGAAGCAATTTTTCCCCAAATAGATTGATATGTCTTTGGGACAGCAGAGCTAAAAATCAGCACAGGGTTAACAGAAATTGGCCTTTAAGAAATGTTATGGTTCATGAAAAACAAAACGTAATCAACGAACCTTTGGTTAAGAGAGAAAAAATCTTACTACCACCTTTGCACGTCAAGTTGGAGCTTATGAAGCAATTTGTGAAGGCGTTAAGTTGAGATGGAAATTGCTTTAGGAATTTATCACGTCCTGGGATTAGCACGAAACTAAAAGCTGGTATATTTGATGGTCCTCAAATACGGCATATCATTAAAGATCCACAATTTACCACATCAATGAATGAGACTGAATCTAAGGGTCTAGGAGTTGTATTTAATATAATTACAAAGTAGAATTTTTATCTCGAACAACTTCTATAAATTAATAAATAAAGTTGGTCGCAAAATTACTAAGACTTCAATTTTTATTTTTAATGGAGCATATTACAAATAGTTTTTTTTTTTAATTAGTTGGGGGGTTGTAGCAACAAGGTGGAGGGCACTGTAAACATTTCTTTATTTTATTTTTCCCAAAATTCGCCAATCTAATAAACGTATTTTAAGGATAATTGTTGAATGTGATAATAGAAATAAAATGGAATATTTGAGTGGATTAGCACATAATTACCTATTTTAAAAACGGTTAGGTTTATTTTATAATTGGTTTATTTATTTTTAGTTGTATGTTTTTAATTTAATGTGTAGAGACGTAGTTTAAAATTAAATTTTGAAAATATTTTTTATTTTTGTAAAAAACCATACTAATTTGTAATACCCGCATGAGTATAAAAGTTTACTACCTCCATAACCACATAGATCGCTTTCCGAAAATTTAGGAGATTATAGTGAATAACAAGGAGAAAGATTCCATCAGGACATTAAAACAATGGAAGATCGATATCAAGGACGATGGAATAGTCGTATAAAAGATAATTTTTAGGTGATAGGTGACTAATGTGAGTATGAATGTATGCGAATCTACTTTATCTAATAAATACTTAAATCTATGTTTTTTTTTTTGGCAACAGTAATATTTATAACGTAAAATATGTACAAGTTAAAAATAGTAAATATTGCCTATTTTAACCTAGATTTGTTTGCCTGTGTAATCCTTCATGCTTAGTACTGATTTCAGGATGTTCTCCAAAATGCTCATGACGTGATCGTATCAAAGAGCAAAAACCGAATACCAGACAGAAATTAATATTAATAAATAATTTCATACATGGCCTTAACCGAAGCAAGACAGTCTCTAGATTGCCTTTACAAGTTGCACATTTCAGAGTCAGCGACACATAATTTTTCTTATTATTCCGCATAAGGCATCATCGACAATATAAGCAACTAATTAAGTTTCAAAACCAGTCCTAGTATGCACAATCAAATAAATGACAACTGTATTATCTGCATACATCGTTGACGTCTGCATATGCTAAGTGAATATTCATCAAAAAATTTACATAGTTTATGTTTCAAGTTCAAGTCGAAACATTGACATAGGGAGGATCACTTGTCTTTAATATATTTTTTTTTTTTTGAAGAATTAAAATCTAGATCTATATCGATCAAAATTATTAAGTTAGACACAGAAATAGAACATAGGAGATGTTTTATAAGATAATTATTAAAAAAAAGAATGAAAAAGTAAAAAAAACAAAATTTCACCCAAATTCAACCAAAGCGTATAAAAGAGTCAGTTTTCACCGAGATGAAAAGAAATTTAAGAAAAAGATATAGTAAGTAAAAGGTGGATGAAGACCACGATGAAAGACAATTATTATAGGTGTTTCAACTTCCCTATAATCCCATATAAAAACAAACACAACATAGTTCCAAAAAATCCACCAGAAGTCGTTAGAAGGTAAGGTACCCGTTTGACCATTATAAGAGCTAGACGAAGTATATTTTACCATCAACATGTATTCAACTTCAAGATCTGGCCATTAGACGATTGGTTAATCATTTGACAGGTTATTATTTTAATGTTCATGGACATCTTACTAATATACAGGGTGTTTATTAAGTACTTGTACAAACTTTAAATGGTGAATCTTTGACTTATTTTAAGGCAAAACGTTCATATGAACACATTTCCTAAACCTCTTAACTTTTGAGCTACAGGGTGGTAAAGGTTTCAGAAAAAAAAATTTTTTTCTCTAATAACTGTAAGAATATTGCAGATATTTTTACGAAATTTGGTACGTCTCCTACGCATTATGATGCATTTTTTAATGTACAAATAATTTTATTATTTCTACCAGTACGGTTTTCGTATTAAATATTTTTGCCGAAAAAAATAGTACGCCACTGCTTCATCTTAAAATAACAAATATTTTTGCAGTCCTCATTTAGTTTTGAGCAAATTTGGTCTGATGAGTTTTTTCTCCGACGCATAGTTTTGTCCGACGCATAGTATTCTGCATGGAACAAGTGAAAAATGTGTCTTTTATTGATCAATATTGTTATGTGATAAACTTAGATTATTTACAGACTAAGACTAAACTACTTGTACAAATAAGTTAATAACATTTACAACAATTGCTGAAAATGCCCGCCGCCTATTGCAACGCATGCGTCAATTCGCCTTAACATTGATTGATGTACTCTTTCGAATATACCTGGTGTCTGATTAATAATGGCACACTATTCTTTCTGTTTCTATTTCTTAGATCTTGCTCATTTTGAACGGATGTTTTGTAAACTAGTGTCTTTAAGTGACCCCACAGAAAAAAATCCAGAGGATTTAAATCTGGTGATCTGGGAGGCCAGGCTTGCGGTTCCGCTCTTCCTATCCAACGATTAGGATAATTCTCGTTCAGAAATTAACGTGCAACCAAACAAAAGTGTGCCGGTGCGCCATCGTGCATGAACCACATCCTGTTTCTGCCAAATCAATTTCTTCTAAATGGAAGCTCGTACTCCAAAAATCTTCTGTACTCTTCGCCATTTAGCCTTTGTGGAAGAATGCAAGGTCCAATAAGGTGATCCCCGATAATTCCGACCCAAATATTTAGAGAAAAACGATCTTGGAAATTATTGTCTATGATAGCATTGGGATTATCCTCAGACCAGATATGGTTGTTGTGGAAGTTCATGATGGCGTTTCGAGAAAAAGAAGCTTCGTCTGTAACAAGCACATGGCCTAAGAAATCCGGGGTTGTTAATAATTTATTTCGCAGCCAAACGCAGAAATCTACTCTGAGAGGAAAATATCTAGGTAGTAATGCCTGTACACGTTGAATATGATAAGGATAAAGTTGTTGAGATTTTAAAATATGCCACACAATTGTATGCGTAATATTCAATTCATGAGCAATTTTCCTTGTACTAGTTTGCGGGTCTTCTTCAATTCTATTTAACACAGATTCTTCAATTTCAACTGTTCGAACTGTCGCAGGCCTTCCTGGGATATTAATTGTTCTTTTAAAGCTGCCAGTTTCACAAAGTCTTGCGTGAATATTAATGAAAGTTTGGACATGTGGAACCACCCGTTGAGAAAATTGGGCTTGATACATTCTTTTTGTAACTTGTGCATTACCGTGAGCCATTCCGTAGACGAAATGAATGTCTGCCATTTCTGCATTGGTATATTCGTACATTTTGAACACAATAATAGACAATAAATTATTACATACATACATTTTTAAATGACAAAAACCATGATCTTTTTTTTTTAATAAACTGTCATGACTGATTCAGCTACCATGGAAACATCTCGGTTGTTTGCAAGGCTTGCTATGCATGTATGTACAATTGTACATTTTAGCAATTTGACTCTGAAATAAAATGGATTTTATTTTTTAAAGCGTAAACTATGCATCGAACGAAAAAACTCAAGAGATTAAATTTGTTTAAAAATAAATGAGGATTTCAAAAATAATTTTTGTTTTAAGATGAAGCAGTGGCCTATTTTTTTTTGCAAAAATATTCAATACAAACCCCGTAGGTATGGACGCCACTGGTAGAAAACATAAATTTGTACATCAAAAAATGCATCTTAATTCGTAGTATACGTGTACCAAATTTCGTAAAGATATCTACAATAGTCTCACAGTTATAGGAAAAAATAGATTTTTTTCTGAAAACTTTACCACCCTGTAGCACAAAAGTTTAGGAGGTTTAGGACACGTGTTCATATTAACTTTTTGCCTTAAAATTAGTCAAAGATTCACTATTTAAAGTTTATACAAGTACTTAATAAACACCCTGTATAAATGCGAAAGTTTGGATGGATGGATGGATGGATGTTTGTTGCTCAATCACGCAAGAACAACTGAACGGATCTGGATGAAATTTGGCCCAAAGATAGATTATAATCTGGAATAGCACATAGAATGCTTTTTATCCCAGAAAAGTATACGGTTCCCGTGGGATAGATGTTTTTGTTTTTGACAGACATGATTTTTGGCATTGGGGTAGTGAATCATGAAAATTTGAAATACAGCTACTGAACATAAATAAATAATGACATGTTTCAAAGTACATATTTGAATTTTCACATTATAAGAGGGGGAGCCGGGGCAAACTGGAGTTAAAAGTTTCTATGGAAGTATCAATTTTTTTATAGTGGGAACTTGAAAATTGGAATTATAGCTACTTATCACAAATAAATAATGGTGTGTTTCAGGAATTTTGGATTTTCATACTTCAAGAGGGAAATATAAAAAAAAAATTTAATTTTTAAAAATAATATATTGAGAATCTAGCATTGTGTATAGTATAGTTAAAAACAATCTTTTGTCTCATATCAGCACTGGAGGATTTTTGATTAATAGTTTGATTAAAGTGGTTTTTTGCCTCAACATCTTCATGTGTATTTTTTGAGGTAGGGCCTCGGATATGCCTTCAATGGTTTTAGAAGAAATTTTTTTTTTTTCAGATTTTGGTTGCGGATATATGATTTTTCAAAATATAGTAAAATATATCAACATTTATGTGTACTTACGAATACGTTATCAGTATTTCGAAACATTACCTGAAACAAAAAAAAAACAAAATATTAGAGTTGTTATTTAGTGTGAGACTAATATTAAATGAAAGTTTAACACATTATACATCTTACATTATATTTTGAATTTTTGACATTGTTTTGACATTTGATATATTATACAAATGACACATAAAAATAAAAAAAGAAGAATGCGCGCAATTTCAATTTAAAATTATTAAACATTAATAAAAATTCCAGCGAAGCGGGAACGGGTCAGCTAGTATATTATATTTACGAACAAATATAATTGTATTTTATTTATAACTCTAATAATTTTGAAATATTATTTATTAAAGTTAGTTTAAAGTAACGCTTCTTTCATCTTTGAGGTCTAGCTATTATCTAGTCTAGTTATTGTTGATCTTAGATATGAATAATGTTTACGTCAACACTAATTTAGAGTATTACTTAGAGCATATAAGACTAGAGATATCATTCAATGTATTTTGTTATGTATAAGCGGGCTATCACTTTTGGCGTGAGGGGTAGGTACTCCATTCTCAATGGCGTACGGTTTGAAGGGTTCGTATTTATGTTCACCATTTATGCACTAATTTCACAATAACTAATAATTTAGATAATTGATTCGCATGATTAATAAACAAAATTATTTAACAATGTTCTTTTTCTATTTATGTTAAGCTTTCGTTATACACTGTATAGTAAACATGGTTTACTGGAAATAACTATATGTTCGTTTAGGATTGAAAACTTTTTTTTACTGTAGATATATGTTTTGGAACTGTATGCTTTCAACTGAATTCGTGGTCACACATTATTTTTGTTTATTTCAAGTAGATCATTTAGAAACTGAAATCTTTTTTATATAGAGTAAATAAAAGAAAAATAAAAACAAATACCAATAATTTATTTCTAGTAGTAATAATATTAAATGCACATGTTTTATAATAAAATTATTGATCAATGTAATCGAAACATATTGGTTGTGTCTAGATATAATATATGTGTGTAGAAGTAAGCTATTTATAAAACAAAACAAAAAATGAAATAAACATTAATGCTACTGAATTCCCATGAAATTTATTTATTATTTATTTGTTTAGGTTACCACTTAACAGTTAAAATCCAATTACCTATAGAATGAGATAAATACAGAAAAAATACATTTTACTCGTGAGATATACACATTTTCAGGCAAAAAATGTTCAGTTACATTTTACTGTCTACATTAGAGCACAGAACATTTTAAAACTCACAGAAACACACATACTATTAGTATGTATACAATAGGTACTATATACACACACAAGAAATAATATAAAATACCTAACTATTCGTAATAGACATATTTATTAACTTTACAAGCAGAACACAATAGCTTCTTTTGCTTCAACTGACTGATTTTGTTGAAACTTGCAGCCAACATCAACATATCCAATATATTTTTTGCTAGTCCATTCCACCCTTTGCATAATTGCCATTTTATCCATCAAAAGATTCAAAAAACCTTTTTTATAACCTTTTGACTTTCGCGGTCTTTAAATTTCAATGCTCTTCAGTGAATCCAGGATAATCATCAACAGCCTAATACCACTTTGATAAAGTTCTAGGATGTGGGAGAAAATTGTTAAATGTTTCCCTTACATATGTATAAGCCTTCATTCTGTAGAAGCTTAAAGTTATTGCAAACGCTTTTAATTCAGGGGAATATTTTGTTCTGGAATGATCTTTAATTGCTCTATTGACCAATTCCTTAGATCCACTTGCAAGAGAAGCCTGAAAATTAACTAATTTGATCTAAAATAACATATATATACTCGTAAATAAAATGTTTCCTCATCATTAAAAACATTTATGAAAATTACTGGAATTAATTCTTACATCCACAAGTGTATCTGTACTTTTGATAAAAGAAATATTTTTTATATATATCCTATTATACTCTTTAAAGATTCCAATCTACTTTGTAAAATATATTTCTATATATATAGTTTTAGGTGACGAGTTTATCAAATTTTAAACAATATTTTGTCTTTTAAAGAGAGTTAAAGATTGAAGTTCCCTGAAATGCATATTTTCGTCCCTACAAATGAAATGTACATAAAATGTATTCTGCAGATTTATTAATGATATACATTTGGTTAAATTTCAAAAGTTCCAAAGGCTATTATTACTATTATTCACGAAATAAAGTAAATAACTAAGTAATGGATGAGATATCAAATTAAAAAAGGGCAGAACTGTCAACAATATCAATTATTAGCTGATGTTCATGCTAAAAAGTAATGTGTGAAACTGACTGTAATCTGACCAATCAGAAGGCTACAGAATTGCCAACTTAAATTCAAATCGCTCCTCTTAGTTTAAAAACAGATTATAATAGTTCATTAACGGAAGAACTAGGATGTACTCCTCTAGTTTCACTTTTTGCACTAGTTGCATAAATAACTATTATTTTAATTGTAATAAAAATCTTAAATTACAAAATTGTGTTGCTATTTTTATTTACTTCCCACTGAATGTTTTGCAAGTCTAAAGTCGAAAAATATATGTAATGTTATTTTAGTTTAGTTATTTAGGTAATATACAAATGTTTAAATCATTAAAATTTAACTTTTTAATCCAATAAATGTTTTTTGTTGGGAAACTGCTTTAATTGTTATTTAAATAAGAGCCTACGCCACTGGTATATCGATCTGGAGCAACAGAGAAGGAATATTTTAAAGTGAGGCAGACGATGACTAGTTGATGACGCCCGTGGCTTTTTCTAAGTTGAATCGTACTCTACTTACTTGTAAAACGTCAATCAGGATTCTTTTAAGAATTTATTATTGCAAACTATACAAACTTTCGGCATGATTATTTTATAATAAAAAACACTTAAAAAGTTTATCAAAGAGACACATCGTCCAAATTGTCTTTGAAAGCCACAAAAACGATCTTTTTAAAAACGAAAACAAGACGTCAAATGAAATGGCATGTATCACAAATACCCGCGTTATTTAAATTCGCCAATCATAAATCGTCGTGTTCCTAACTCGCTAATCATAATGCGTCGTGTACCTAACACCGAAGGGGTTACCCCCCTCACTACATAACAAACCCATTTGAATAACACCTCTACTGTTATATGCTCTAAGGAGTATTATTTTAAAATTTTTAAATAAGTGACAATTCTGTCAAACTATTATCAAAATATTATATGTTTAGTTATTAAGATTAAATATACGTAAAAATAGATTATTCTTGTGTAGAATCGATAAATACCAGCATTTCTATTTTTATTTCGTCTATATTGACAAATAAATTATAAATTATAATCAAACTGTATAAAATCAATTTAATTACGAGTATTAAAACTAAACTGGTAAGTGTGTCTATGGGGGTGAGACCAGGGAGTTTTGCTGCTATGCGAGAGGTTCAAATTCAAATATCGGCTGGATATTAATTAAATTAAATATTTTTTACGTTGATTTTATTTAATAAATTAATAAAAGTCATAAATTAGGTATTTTATCTTAATAACTTATAATACTTTTTAAAATTGATAGATTTTCGTTAGTGGGCCGTAGAAAAAATATACATGGTCATCATTTATCCACTCTTGTTGCACAAACTACTATTGAAAATACTTGCAGTAGCGTTGACTAAATCGATTTAAATTTACAAGTAACATAACCTTAAAATATTTAACGTCAAAAAATAAGGTACAAATGTGCCATGGCAAAGTGGGTATTAAATAAAAAATGATTGTACATAATGTATGATATTTAAGACCTTTTTCAATAAAATTACGAAATACCATTCTATTAATGAAGGTGAATTACTATCATATCAACATCAACAGTTTTATTTTTGATGAAGCCATAAAGTACGTACTAGGGGCAGAATTCCAGTGTCCTATCTCGTTTATCATTGAAATAATAATAATATAAATCAGCGTTTTCCTTGCGGGCAATCTATTACAATTTCTCGGTGAATACTGTAATTTAAATGAATGGTCTTATTGCTATAATTACATTTCAAAGCCGACACATAATATAATATAAAACGTTGGATTGATCTAGACCGAACTATTTCGGTAATTGTGAGTAATTATGTTTCTGTACATTATTGGTTCGAAACTAATAAACTAATTTTGACATAAGCTGTATTTATTTATTTATTTTATTTATCGCACCAAACTTTTGAAAATAACGCAGATTACACCGTTATCATTTCCCGGAAAGTTTTAGTTCGTATAAAAGTTTCTGTTTCATGGTCTGAGAATTATTATTAGATAGTAAACAGAAAATTCGTAATGTTTTTAGTCACAATCTTATGAATGTACCTGGAATAGTGGAATTTAAAGATCATGTTAATACAAAAAAATTACTAAAAGCTAAGATAGAATTATCTTGTAACAAAAAGTTAGATCATAAATTATATTAGATATTGTTACGAATAAATATAACACCCTGTGAATAGGTATGTTATGATTTGTAAAGTTTTATCCAAGGGCATGCGCGCTAAATACATTTTCAATAAAATAATAAAATAAGGTTTTATTCATAGATATATAACAAAGACAGATAGGATTATTTATAAAAATTTTGAAGAATGAACGGTGGTGTCCGCGGTAGAAACTCAATAATCGGATTGAACATTGATGCCAAGTTTACGTGCTTTTAACTATAGATATATATATATATATATATATATATATATATATATATATATATATATATATATATATATATATATATATATATATATATATATAACCAATACAGATTACACAATTTCTGAAGTCAACGCGGATGATCCTCGACAGAAATGCAATATTTGGATTAAATTAAAATATTGATGCCAAGTTTGCGATGTTTTTAACTGTAGTAATGTTATTGCGTTTGCTTGAATTACTGTTAGGTCTTTAAATTGTCCAAAAAAAATAATGTCTGACAACAGCGGAAGTAGAGTAGACCGCAATTGTGGAGGGTCGAATATTGTTTCATTCATAAAAATTCCTTCGATACAGTACTAGTCC